CTACTCTCCACATGCAGAGAAGACAATTTACCAAAATGTATCTTTCAAATGTTCCAGGAAAGGATTCAGTCTCATTTTGCACAAGTGGAGAATTGCCGAGCAAGCCCTTGCTTCGGCCAGAACGAAACGACACAAGAGCACCAGACCAAAGGGAAAAGAAGCAAAACAGCATGGTCGGCGCGGAATCAGTCTCATTTTGCACATCTGGAGAGTTGCGGAGCGACGCCTTGATTCAGCCAGAATGGAACAACACGAGCCGGCCGAACCAAAGGGAAACCAGCAAAACGACGAAAAAAAGAGAAGGAAAGGACGTCCCCAACCATAACTGTGCCCCACAGAGCCGCCCCGGGACAAACAAGGAGAAGGGTCCCATGGGACAGCGTCACACAAGACCCGGGTTAGTCTTAATAAGGATATAGAAAGAAAAGAAAAAAAATTGTCAAAAGATCCGTTGTCGAGAACACAAAGCACACGCATGACTGTATCAGACCTGAAGATCGCTTGCATACATTCAACAGGTTCACGAAAGCACACGCAGGACTTGAGAAATAGCTTGTACACAACCATCATACATGCGAGTGTCGAGAACAGATGACCCTCTCATCATGACCATATGGAACCCGAAAGATAGCTTGTCTACATTCGAGAACAACATGCACCCACCAATTTCTTGGTGCCGCTGTTGAGTTTGGCACCGATGCACCCACCAATTTCTTGGTGCCGCTGTTGAGTTTGGCACCGATGCGCTGCACTCTGTGCAGGCGCATGGGTGAGTGTGCACTGTGAGGCACACACAAGGTACACCACAAGTATGGTGCGAAATCTCTATCATCGACAAGCTACAGCCATCTTCCCCAAAAATAAAACATGGAAAAAGTCACCAATGCCTGAAACCACTAGTACACCGCCCCTGCCTTGCAGAAAAAATAAACTTGTCGCCCAAAATAAGATTTTGGGGCTCGGGGAAGGCCTGGTGAAGCACCGGGAAAGTAAATGCAAGGAACATGAATGTGGACGAAGCACAGAGATACCAATTGCAAAATCACACTGAAGTCCGAGTAGTCAAAGCAAGAGCAGATAGCACATTGGAACCAAGATACCATCCATTTGAGAACGATACAGCAAAAGTCGTGAGTCAATGTCCAAGCCCAATCGGGCAACACCAACAACATAACCCGAAGTAGCTCTCTCTCTTGAATGGCGCCAGGCGCCCTATCTACTCTACAGCCTATCCCTACAACTACATTATGGAAGCAACCAGACAACTTGACGACCAGCGAGTGATGACGTCAACACCAATGCCGACCTCCTCTCCACCAGGTAGTCTCTCTCTCTTCGCTCACTCTCCCTTGTTATCCCACACAGCGCCCTTCACCTTCCGAAGAACCACCTTCGCCCTCACCTCCCTCAGCGCCCTCATGCAGCCCGGCTATGGCCGCCAGCGCCCTGCGCCCAGGCTGCGCCCTACCGCTTAACCCCAGCCTGCCTTCTCTCAGCCTAGCGCAGCGCAGCACCTCGCAATGCTTCAGCCTGCCGGCCTTGCTCGCAATGGTCAAGATCCCTGCCCACTCGCCTGCTCTGCCTATATGCCGGTGTTGCGTGTGGGAGGTCTGCCTTGAGCCTGCGCCTGGGCCCCAGTACCTGAACCCACGCCCAATGCAGATGGGGCCCAGGTAATACAGTTGCGCCCCTTATGCTAGGTCCGTTGTCCAGATTCAGACCCTGTACCGGTTTCCCATTGATTTCCTCGGCCTCTGCAACGAAATACTGCTTTTCCGAGGCCAGGGACCAATGTGTAATGTGTCGGCCTCCCAGACTGTCGCCCAGGGCTCAACTAACTGAGGCCCTGGGCTCAACTGCCTGTGGAGCAGTCTGAGGCTCACAATGCACTCCAACCAACTGGCGTGCGGCAACAACTGTCTGATACCCACTTTGTGAAATGCTGAACGAAGGTCTCTCGTGGATAATCTGGCCCGCCTTCACTTAGGGCGGGCACTAGGCTTGCTGGGGGCCTATGCCCAGAACATATGCATGTCGGCAAGGCCCCGTTGCGAGCTCAATCCTCACATAAACTTGTGGTCCCATTAAGAACAGGCAGCTGGACTAAAGCTTTCCTGCTGGTCCAATCTGCCTGTGTGTTTCCACGTGTACGTACAGAGCCTGTCTCGCTGGCACTTGGATAACAACAAAGAGAAAAGGGAAAAAAAACAGAGCAACGGAAAAACGAGAAGCATTCACTTTGTTTTGCGTTTGGATGGGTGTGGCCACATTCCTGGTCCACATTCGAGGGAGCTCTTTAAGTTCTCTTCCTCATTCTTCTTCTTTTTTTTGCCTCTGAATTCTTTCTCATCTTTCTTTTCAGGTGCCCTGCCAGGAAGGCAGGGCATGTTTCAACTGTTCTTCTATGCTGGACAGCCGTTTCTTTTCAACTTCAACTATCACTTAGAACCTTATACTAAGTTACTGCTATGCAATGACTTGCTGATTCTGACTGCCGAGATTGACTGCGAGGCTGTACACTAACTGGTAGATTCGTAATTTTGTTTGGCTGAGGGCTAACCGAGGGACCTACCTGTAAGGAAATTCGTGAGGGACATATCTGCAAATCTGGGAAATAATGGCCCAGTACTAACTCGAATTCCTACAGCTACCCTAACTGCATATAGCAGGCCCGGGCTACCCCTAGGACAGACAGGCCCCAAGTGGCCTATGCTGCTAGACGGTCCTATAGCCTATAGCCGGGCCCGGTAGAGGCCGAAAGGCCGAAACAGAAACGGTACCGGTCGGTCAGTCAGTTCGGTCTAGGTCTAGTGTAGTCCATAGATAGGTTGGGCCCATCGGTTCAGGACTTTTGGCAGTTCATTTCTCGCGAAGCAGCGTTGGAGAAGCCAAGCAAGTTGGTGGCGGTGACTGTCTGCAGGCGGCATCCTGATACCTCGCCGTTGACAGCAGCCATAGCCGGCCCAGTCTGAGTCTGCCATAGCTGGGGCATCCTCAGCGCATCTACCCCTGGGGGTATCTGCGTCTGGCCGGGCTACATCGAGGCTCTACACTGTGTACTCGTGGGTGGTGGCAGCCATAGCTGCCTGTTCCTTCGTCAGAGTTGTCCATCGGCACTGAGGGTTCCATCTCAGGACCTGTTCTTCATCAGGGTGGTTGGCGCTGGCTCTGGGAGACTATTCTGGTGTGGCACTACTAACTGGGTGTAGGATAGAGAGTGGGGTGTGAGTTCTGAGAGCGGCGAGATACTGGAACGAACTCTGTTACGATAATTGGTTCGAGTGGTTCAAAATCAGTGCAATTTCAATTGATATCCTCGCAGGTTCTACTTGTGATTGGTTGTTGGGAGTTTGTCAGAGACTGAGAAACACGTTGTGTCTTCTCCCCATCTGTGCATAGCTGTATTTCGCTGCCTACTCTGATCTGTGTGCAGTGTGGACTCTGTCTCCTCTCCCCCTTCTCTTACTCATGTATGGGCGTGTATGAGATTGTCTGTGTGTGAGTGGCGGGTAAAAATCGTCAGACAACCAAGTTCATAACAGTTGGTATCGGAGCGGGATTGGATTTGGAACGCTGAGGGTTGAGCGCACTGAGGCATCTCCTTCATCTGGCGATGTACTGGCGAGAGTTTCATGGCGATTCAGCTTCCCCAGTACTGAGTCAGCCGGGAAGAAGACTTTCAGCAGTGGATTTAAGTGTTCAGTGGTGGCACTGAGCAAGCGCACTGAGCCTGTCAGGGCGCTTGTCAGGAAGTTGCAAGTACAGGGCTAATTCGCCATAGCCAACCCTGAGGGTAGTGTTGCGAATTACCCCAGAGTGGCGAATTACCCCCGAGTACATCAGGGAATCCTGAGCGGCATCATCCCTGGGTAGCGCTGGCAGAGATTGACAGCTTGTATCAATCTCCAGGAGAAATAACCCCATCTGGGGCTATTTTTAGCATCAGCGGCTACCAGGCACTGTGGCGAGATATTTTGCTGTTGGCTATCTGGGTGCCACAGGACCAGATACAGTGGATCTGGGTTGAGGGAGTTCAGCGCGACAGGATCCTGAGGAGGATCAACGAGTTGGAAGCAGTTTTGTGCGTGGGATTATCAGGAGGAATATCTGGAAGCAGTCGGCGAGATAAGGGTTATCATCAGCCATAGCCAGATCTTCATCGACACCTGCAAGATTCTCTGAAAGTGAGCCCGTTCCATGCACCTACCTGCATAGTGATCCAGATAGGATTAGATAAGTTTATTATAATGGTCTATCTGTCTGTCAGTGACTGGATGTGAAAATCGCAGACTGCATGACAGCCATAACCATCTCTCCCCTACTCTAACCCTCTGTTGACTGTTTCTGATCCAAAATTGTTATGTGACTGCTTTACTGCATTGCGATTGATCTGGGATGCTCAAACTGTGAATTCTGTATTGGAAAAGTAAAGATACTGTGAATTACAATTTTGCGCTGAGTCTATTTATAGCCTGTGCTAACTAGGGTCAGTCATAACTTCAATTCCGTCCGTCAGAATTCCATTCTGTCAGTCCCCAGTGAATCACAATCCAAAAATAGACAATACTGCAGAATCGCAGAGTTGAATTTACAGTATATCACTGGATACAGTGAATACTGTATTTCGCCATACCCTAGGGTATGGCCGCCAGAGTCATCAGGGTCTGAATTGGAGTCCGAGTCAAGATATAGGGTGTCTGTCTGAATCGCTTGATTTGGTTTACCTCTCTTGTCTGTACTAACCATGTTCTATCATTCCCACTGATTACCCTTGTTTTCTAGTGGGCTCTGGAAATCTAGTGTCTCTGGAAGAGTAGTGGAGTGACTCTACTAACTCTAGTGTGGTGCAGGGTCAGTAAAAGGAAATTGTGTGTATGATTTTGCTGGACTTTCAGTCTGTCTGACACCTGCCCCAGAGACTCCCTTCCAACCCAAACCGCTGATTGCCCACTCACCCACCTATTCCAGTGTCTGAGTTTTGCAGCGATTCCAAGGTGTCTGAAGGAATCTGTTTATCGCTGCATACTCAGGTGGTTGTTTTATTTTTGGTTTTATTTTAAAGAGGGAAAATGTCTGATCAGGGGGCTCAGCAGCAGCCGCAGGTGGAAGTGGTGATGAAGGACGAAGGTCAACAGCCTTCAGCCTCCACTCCTCCTCCTCCACCTCTAACTGTTACTCAGCAGGAGAAGGAGCTGCAAGAGCAGCTGCGGCGGCAAAAGTACCGCCTGGCAGAGTTGGAACGTCAGGAGGCGGCTGAGCTAGAGGCTGCAACAGATTATTCCAGAAGTGAATATCTGTTGCAGCAGCTAGACAAGATGCTCTCAGATGACGCTTGTGCACAGGTGACCAAACACCTAGCAGAGCTTATCATCTTGGAGCACAAGATCACCAGTTCTCATTTCACGAACTGGGATGATCGCTTTGAGCATTTGGAGCATCGGGTTGACGACCTGGCAGCTCAGCAGTCCAAGATTTTGGATGTGATCCAGAGCTTGACTGCTCAGCTGCCAGCCTCCAAGCTGATTACCTCTCAGCTCCCTCTGATCAAACCCAAACCTTCTCCTCCTTCTACACCTCCATCTCGCCCTGGATCTGTGCATTCTTCCCGGAAACCATCCCATTCCCAAAAAGCCTCAGGCAAGGCCACCTATGCTGCTGTTACTGCAGGAGATCACAGAGGTCCCAAGATCCCTGCTCCCAACAAGTTCAGGGGCGATGACCCCAAGACCGATGTTGGGGACTGCGCTGCTGGGACCAAAGCCTACTTGAGGGGCTTTATCTGTGCAGAAAGGACCAAGGTGGCGACCGTTCTGGGACTGCTGGAGGGACCTGCATTGAAGTGGGCCACTTCCACCTCCAGCAGTCTAGAGCAGTCCATGGAGGACTGGGCTTTTGGGCTTGGGGTGGACAAACTTCTGCAGGCCCTGGAGGACCGTTTTGCAGACAAGGAGCGGGCCCGCAAGGCTGCTGACAGGATTGCTCGCCTGGGGCAGCAGCGGTGCAGCGGCACCCTGCAGGCCTTGTTTGCATAATTCGAGCAACTTCCCTCCACCCCTGGGTTGCTCATTGCAACCGATGATTTGTTGACCAACTTCTGCAAGGCCGCGCCTGAGAAGTTTGTTGTTGCATTGTACAGCGTTGGGCACAAGGACTGGAGGTCCTTTGACCGTGCAGCCCTGGACATGGAGGCAAAGCTTCAAATCCAGGCCCCATCCTTTGACAAAAGGAAAGGTGCCTTCCCTAGAGGTGCAGAAAGGGAAAGGCAGCCTTTACCCATGCGGGATCTGCATCAGGTTCAGATTCATATTCCCAGGCTGATGCACCTTCAGCTGGGACTGGATCTGCTCCTGATACAGATGTTGCAGCAGCCCTGACTCCGGCTGTTTTGGGAGTTTTGCAGCAGCAGAAGAGATTCTTCCCCACCACAGCCTCAGCCAGTGCAAAGGGGAAGGATAAGGGACATCGGCCTTCCTCTTCCCAGCGCCCTAACCTGCCCAAAGATGTCCGAATGCCAGCTTACCTTCTCAATCCCTCCACACTCCCCTGGCATGACCTTAAGATCCCGGAGGGAGTCTGGAGAAGAAGAAAGGAGCGAGGGGCCTACCTGAGGTGTGAGGGACAGCACTTCCTGAAAGACTGCCCTTACATGTCAGGCCCAGGTCAGTCAAAAAATTGAAACAGACCCTGGGGACTGCAGTTCCTCCCAGTGCTGCACCTTCATCTACTCAAGTAGGTGAATCTGCAGTTATTTCACTTGAGACTGTATGTGACGATGTTTGTTTGGGGACTGCGCGGGCAGCATCCTTCTATTATGAGGATCCTAACCCGGATCATGACCCGGAGCAGGATGAGCTTCAGGCCCTTGCTGCCTTCTTCCTTCATCTAAAGGAGCCGAAGAAAAGCAAGTCTGATCTCATCATGCTTCGGCCCCTGATCAATCGCACCAGGATCACTGGGCTGTTGGACTGTGGAGCCACCAGGAACTTCATGTCTCCCAGTGCAGTTAAAAGGCTGCACCGGGGCATGAAAGTTTAGCAGCTGCAGCAACCGCTGCTGGTAAGGATTGGTGACTCTACAGTGTTGAGAGCATCAGGGAGAAGGTCAAGGGTATCCCTGTGACGTTCGACAGTGCTGGAGAAGTCAGACATAGTCTGAACTTCTACATCTTCCCTGAGCTGCCCTTTGACTTGGTATTCTCTATGCAATGGTTGAAGGCAGTCAACCCAAGGATCGACTAGCAGATCCCAAAGGATGAGCTACCTAATAGCCAGGGTGTGTATCAGCCATGCATGATTGCTGCTGATCACCACCCTAAGACATCTTGCTACTGCCTTAGAGCAAGGGAGTTTCATGCTTTCTAACGCCAGCACCACCACGAGCGTTTGTTCATTGCTTTGGTCAAGCAAACATATGCTCCCCCTGTTTCCTGTCCTCCGGAGATACAGCAGGTGGTAGATCAGTATGCTGATCTGATGCAGGAACCCTTTGGGTTACCCAACCAGCCAACCAAGCATCACATCGAGCTGCTGCCTGGAGCGGTCCCTCCCAAGGGCCGCATCTACATGATGTCCCCTGCTGAGCTTGAGGAGCTCAAAAAGCAGCTTGAGACCCTGACCAGCAAGGGTTGGATCAGACCCAGCACATCTGAATTCGGTGCACCTGTTCTCTTTGTGCCCAAAGGGAATGGCGAGTTCAGAATGTGTATTGACTACAGGGGTCTCAACAAGATCACTAGGAAGAGTACTGAGCCACTTCCTAGGATCGATGACCTTCTGGACATGGTGCAGGGTTGAACAGTGTTCAGCAAAGTCGACCTCAAATCTGGCTACCACCAGATTGAGATGGCAGAGGAGGATGTCTACAAGCTGTCTCTTATACACATCTAGATGTGTATAAGAGACAGGTGCAGGGTTGAACAGTGTTCAGCAAAGTCGACCTCAAATCTGGCTACCACCAGATTGAGATGGCAGAGGAGGATGTCTACAAGACAGCCTTCAAGACCAGGTATGGGGCTTTCCTGGTCATGCCATTCGGACTCTGCAACGCCCCGGGCACCTTCCAAACAGAGATGCACCGCATCTTCAGGCCTTACCTGGACAAGTTTATGGTTGTCTACCTGGATGATATTCTGGTATTCAGCAAAACTGCCAGGGAACATGCGGAGCACTTGGCTCCCATCCTTCAGTCGTTACGTGACAGCCAGTACAAGATCAACAAAGAGAAGTCCTCCTTTGGGGTTCCCTCTATTATCTACCTAGGTCATGTAATCTCCGGAGATGGTCTAGCTCATGAAGCAGCCATGATTGTTGCTATTCAGGAGTGGCCTCAGCCACAGACAGTGAGGGATGTCAGGTCCTTCATGGGTTTAGCCTCATACTACAGAAAGTTTGTCAAGAACTTTTCTGCAGTGGCTGCGCCCCTGACCAACCTAACAAAGAAAGACACTTCTTTTCTTTGGTCCCTCCACTGTCACTTGGCCTTCACACGACTCAAGAAGGCCTTGACTTGTGCGCCTGTGCTGAAGTTACCTGACCCCACTTTGCCATTCATCCTGACCACTGACGCTAGTCAGTATGGCATTGGGTCAGTTCTTCAGCAGGATGATGGGAATGGTCTACGGCATGTAGAGTTTATGAGTAAGAAGATCAAGACTCAAAAGCTCCAGAACTCCACCTACGAGAAAGAGCTATATGCTCTTGTCTATGCCCTGAAACATTGGAAGCACTTTCTCCTGGAAAGGCACTTCAAGATCTTCTCAGAGCACTCCACCCTGCAGTGGATGAAGTCCCAAGGAGAGTTGAATGACAAATTGGCACGGTACATTCAGTTCATAGACATGTTTGACTTTGAACTGAAATACAAGAAGGGTTGCTACAATAAGGTAGCAGATGCCCTCTCTCGTACCCTTGACTCTTTTGCGTTAATCTCCTCTACTCACTCCTTTGGAGAGGAGACTCGTCAGACCATTGCTCGTCTATTGCCTCAGGATGAGACTTTCGGGCCCATAGTCAGGAATCTGCAAGCAAATCCTTACTCTGAAGCAGGCTATGCTCTGAGTTCAGACCATGATGCCCGTGGACATTTTCGGTTCCTAAAGTCTTATGCAGCCCTGTCGCAGCGCTTCTTCTGGAAGGAGATGCGGAGTGATATGCTGCGCTATGTGGACACCTGTGAGCTCTGCCAAAGGAATAAGGTCCAACATAGACCTCCTTTGGGACTGCTCAAACCCCTACCCATACCTGATGGCCCTGCCCAATCTGTGGCGATTGACTTTACAGATCTAGGCAAGACCACCCCTCGTGGCATGCGTCAGGTTATGGTCTGCGTGGACAGGTTCTCCAAATACGCAGAGTTCATCCCCTTGCCAGAGGTAGCGAAGGTCCCGACTGTGAGAATAGCCTTTTCTGAGAGGTGGGTCACTCATCATGGACCGCCCACTTCTTTAGTCAGTGACAGAGACCCCAGAGTTTGCAGCGATGAGTGGCAGTCCTATTGTAAGGATTACCTGCACTCACGATTGGACATGACTTCTGGTCATCAGCCTGAAGCCAATGTTCAGGCTGAGGTGATGAACCAAGTCTTATTCCAAACGCTACGTACTCTCATCTCTCCAACATGTCTGTCCCTCGACAGGGTTCAGTCCCTATCGGTTACACTGGGGACGTGAGCCACGACAGCCTCTCGATGACATCATCGATAAAGCCTGATCTAACACCAGGCACAACACAGTTCACCAGACGTTATCGTCTGGATGTGGAAAGAGCCCGCGCGAAATTGTTCAAAGCCCAAAACGCTATGATCGAACAAGGTAATCACCACATGCGGCCTTCCCCCATTCGCACTGGTGATCATGTCTGGGTGACCAGTTCTGAGTTGTCGAGGGAGGAGGATATCTCCCCCAAGTTGTTGCCACGTTACTTAGGTCCATGGCAGGTCCTAAATACAGTGAGCGTTGATCCCTTCGGTCCGTCGTATGTTATCGACGTCCCGCAGCATCTACGCACCTACCCGGTCTTTCATGCATCCAAGCTGCTACCTTTTACCCCAGCTGATGCATTCCCAGACCGGCCTCCTCAGTCTGGCCCACCAATCCCTGGCAAGGGATATGATGTGGACAGGTTTGAGGATGAGTGGGGCACCGGCCCCTATCGGCAGTATCTTGTGAGGTTCGCATTCCAGCCTCCTTCTGAGAACAGATGGTTCTACAGAAGGGAACTTCAAAAGACAACGAAGTCTATTGTGTTGTGATATTAACCGGCTCAGAAGGGCAACCTTCATCGCCCTTCACCTCGCCTGCATCCCTAGCTCAGAGGTCCTCCCTCCCGGGGAGGGTAAGCCTGCAATGACTTGCTGATTCTGACTGTCGAGATTGATTGAGAGGCTGTACACTAACTGGTAGGGGTAGATTCGTAATTTTGTTTGGCTGAGGGTTAACCGAGGGACCTACCTGTAAGGAAATTCGTGAGGGACATATCTGCAAATCTGGGAAAATAACGACCCAGTACTAACTCCAATTCCTACAGCTACCCTAACTGCGTATAGCACGCCCGGGCTACCCCTAGGACAGACAGGCCCTAAATGGCCTATGCTGCTACACGGTCCTATAGCCTATAGCCGGGCCCGGTAGAGGCCGAAAGGCCTAAACAGAAATAGTACCGGTCGGTCAGTCAGTCCCGTCTAGGTCTAGTGTAGATAGGTTAGGCCCATCGGTTCAAGACTTTTGGCAATTCATTTCTCGCAAAGCAGCATTGGAGAAGCCAAGCAAGTTGGTGGCGGTGACTGTCTGCAGGCGGCATCCTGAGACCTCGCCATTGACAACAGCCATAGACGGCCCAGTCTGAGTCAGCCATAGCTGGGGCATCCTCAGCTCATCTACCCCTGGGGGGTATCTGCGTCTGGTCGGGCTACATCGAGGCTCTACACTGTGTACTCGTGAGTGGTGGCAGCCATAGCTGCCTGTTCCTTCGTCAGAGTTGTCCATCGGCAATGAGGGCTCCATCTCAGGACCTGTTCTTCATCAGGGTGGTTGGCGCTGGCCTCTGGGAGACTATTCTGGTGTGGCGCTACTAACTGGGTGTAGGATAGAGAGTGGGGTGAGTTATGAGAGTGGCGAGATACTAGAACGAACTTTGTTACCATAATTGGTTCGAGTGGTTCAACATCAGTGCAATTTCAATTGTTATCCTCGCAGGTCCTACTTGTGATTGGTTGCTGGGAGTTTGTCAGAGAGTGAGAAACACTGTGTCTTCTCCCCATCTGTGCATAGCTGTATTTCGCTGCCTACTCTGATCTGTGTGCAGTGTGGACTTTGTCTCCTCTCCCCCTTCTCTTATGCATGTATGGGCGTGTTTGAGATTGTCTGTGTGTGAGTGGCGGTAAAAATCGTCAGACAACCAAGTTCATAACAGCTAACTCTTCAAGTGTCGAATCTTCACAGCCGCTAGATTGAAGATCTAGCGGCCTGTCAATCTTCACAGCCACTAGATTGAAGATCTAGCAGCCTGTCTCTAATCTGCATAGTATCTGTTAGTTCTTTTTATCACTTAGAACCTTACACTAAGTTACTGCTAACTCTTCAAGTGTCGAATCTTCACAGCGACTAGACTGAAGATCTAGCGGCCCGTCAATCTTCACAGCCACTAGATCGAAGATCTAGCAGCCCCGTCTCTAATCTGCATAGTATCTGTTAGTTCTTTGTAACTTCTCTGGTAGCGCATCTGGGTGCATATACCTACCGTCCAAAGAAGGCTGTATGCATAGAGGGCGACGCCTGTGGGGGCGAGCAGACTAGTCTGCTCGTCCCAGAAGAGAGAGAGGCACCCATTTCGATGGGGTGCCAGCCTTTCTGAAAGTAGAGTTATGTTCACGAATCTTTGCCAATTTTGGGGTACATGAAGGCATGTTTTTTTAGGGTACACTCAGTCCATGGCCTCACGGGGATGTATCCGACTGCTATTGCCTCCAACCTGAGCCAAAAACGCTACTGTGACTCTGTGAGTTGTTTTTTTTTTTTTTCTAATGATATTTTCCCTTGGCCCCCCAAGCCCAGATCTCTTTGAAACCACCTATATCTGGCACTCGACTTTGGCCACAAACATGACCTGGCTTCGTGGAGGGTTTGGTTGTCGTGGCGCATGAGTGGAAACAATGGCCTCCTCATTCCATCTGCTGGCAGCGGGTCCAGCAGTTCTTTTCTACAGTGATCCAAGCAGCAATGTTGGTGGCTTTCAGGCTCAGCAAAATTCAAATTTAGGCTCGTACATTTAGCCTCGCGTGTACTGGTGGTTTATGTAAAGAGTCTCCTTTCTAAGCTGAGAAAGCATCCCAAGAATGATAAGAAATATGTCCTATGAAGCTATATGTATTGACTTACCTTGAGGGCACGGGTGTGCAGCCCGTGGTTTGTTTGTTGATGTTGTTGTGTGTGTGTGTGTGTGTGTGTGTGTGAGATAGAGAGAGAGAGAGAGAAAGAGAGAAAAATGACGCGGCGCCACTTTGTCAAAACGCCTCGATTGATAAGGCACCACGCTCCTTGCGCACACACGGCGACTATCACTTTGTGAACGCAAAGGGAACGGGAGCGGCCGCCGCTGCTTTTGGCCTGTTTCGATTTCGACCACGACAGGCTTCGAATTCAAACCACTACTCTACCTAACGTTGGAAATTCGGGGGACTGGTAGCACAGGTCCATGAGGGCTACCAGTAGCACAGAGTGGAGAACCGGCAGAGTGGTGAATATGGAAAATGGGATGAATTTGCGCTATCAGCTATTTCGCGGTTGAGACAACTTTTTTAATTTTTTTAAACATTTTTCCTGAAAAGATCATGACCAAATCTACGGACCCTCAAATTTTCAGACTTGTTTACGAGTTCTTCGGAGCGTGAAAAAGCTTTGAAATTACTTTTCCCGTTGGCCCACAAGTTGTCGTGTGCCAAAAATGGAAAAAGTGACGAATTGGCGCGGCATTTATTTCATGGTCTAAACGATTTTATTTTATTTTGTTGATATTTTTCCTGGAAAGATCACGACCTGGCCTACCCGATATCAAATTTTCAGATCTTTTCTCCAATTATTCTGCGTACGAAAAATCGCCAAAGTTGGCGCTCGAAAATTGCAAGATTGGACCCGCCTGCACCTTCCAGTCGGCGCCCTCCCTAAGAACCCGCCCTAACTCACCACAGGCCTGCATCCACGCCGTTTCAGATTCGAAATTTCAAGGCCCGAATGCCACGGGCAGCTACCGGTCCTGCACTTCCTTGAACTGCCTATTTCCCACGAATTGGACCCCCAGCAAATACACCACCCTTCCAACTACCGCCCCGTTTGGTGACCACGACGAAAAATGTTCAATGTCTCAATGTCTCAGGGGCACAAAACGCACCCCTGACGGGCTGCGAACAGAGGGCCTCCTTGATTGTTCAGCCTCTCATCAGCTACCTCATCCTGATATCTGAGGCACCGGGGCAGTTAACACATGTTGGTCTGCTGAAGGTGGGCAGCCCCAGAGAAACATGCGGCACTGCAAACAGAGTCCTGGTTTAGCAATTTTCGCTCTCTTATACCACCAAATATGGCGGACCCTAACCAAAGAAAGCCACTAACCCTGGACTCCTGAGCCAGAGCAAAGCCAGGGCTTCTGGGTCACATCAACTCTGATTGATATATGCTTTCTTCTTTTATTAAGACCGGCAGCTTTACCCCGCTTCACTCTACATGGCGTCCCTCGCAAAAAGGTAGGAGGTCCCGGGCAAGGCATCTCCGGCCAAGCCCAAAAACCAGACCACTAATCGCTACAAAACCCTAATCACTCACGACAGAACCATACTAAATTCACCACAAGGGAGAGGGCTTTGGCTGGCATACAGATCGATATACACATTGGGTTTGGCTTGAGTTCTCTTTTGTGAGACAAAATACATGCAAGGAAAATGAGCAATGCGAATGACAGAAACCAAATTAGAAATCCAGATGAGTTTGACCATGAACTGAAAGCAGATTGCACCGAGAGATACACCAAAATAAGTGCGCGCAACCACCGAAGTCAGTTGACCATGAAAGCCCTCTTCTCGCCTCCAACACCAATGTCCACAATGTCGCTTTCCTATATGGTGCTCCACACCGAGACCACAATCAGACAACACCTATCAACCTACTCCTACACTACTACAGATCTTCATGAAGTGCAGCAGCCCAACGACGATTGAAGACTCCGACAAAGCTGCCTGCTCATCGCGACCAGGTAAGTGCCGTCACACACCACCCACACCTTCTCTGCCCCACACAGTCACTCACCCAAGGACCTCTGCCACACCTCCTCCTGCTATGAGGGCAGCAGCTCGGCTCTGGCCACTGCACCCTCAAGCTGCGCCCAAGGAGCTACTTTCCCGCACCCCGCTATCACCCTCTCCACTCTGCCCGACTCGTGTCGGGTGTGTGAGTGCTCCAGCAGCGCTGGAGCTGTCAAGCCAGCCAGAATGAATGAGAGTGAATGAGCCTCACTCTCTTCTGTCCTGTCCGGCTGGGCGAGGCCAGACTTTGGATGCTTGACCTCTGTCCCAATTGCTGCGCCCAGGGCCCTTCCAGAAAGTGCCTGGAGTTCAACTTCAAGTGCCCTGGGCCTCAGCATCTTTGCGAGGCCCCACATCTTTAACTCATCGGGTCTACCGATAGTTCAACATGCTGCATGCAGCAACCAACCAATGAGGCCCCTTTCT